CAGGTGTCCAAGATTATCTTCTGTGTCTGTGTTAATTGGTTTCCCTTTTCTTTGTTGAAGAGGGTCTGTGCAGTCCTTCTGCCTAGTCCACCATCTTGCCGGAACTCCTCCCCACCAATGTATTCTTAATCCATTCAACTGTAATAATGTAAGATGGTAATGATACTGGAAAATTATATAGTGATTTCAAAAGCATGGGCTTGTTGGTAAGTTGTACTTAAAAAATTAATCACTAATTTCTTGAAAATACAAACCAACATCTATCTACACATTATTTCTGACTTACTGTTTATGGAACACAAGGAGTTAACATGCTTTGTTATTTTTTATGGAACACAGCAAGTTAACATGAAGGACCTAGAGCACTGTTTATGGAACACAAGCAGTTAACAGGTTGAAGGACCTCGAGAACATTATTGAAAATTTGAGATGAAACATTTTTGCAAGGCTTTTTTGTTAATTAAATTAAAAAGGATTAACAGTAACTTAATTCAGTGGGAAAAAAATTCTCTTACAGCTAATAAAGCTACCTATCAATGTGAATGTATGAAATAACTGAGGATTAAAGGTGTTTATCAGGAAGTTAGACGATACCCAATATTATGCTGTTCACCTAGAATCAGATGATGGCAAAATATCAAAGCTAGAAAAAAATGATCTAATAATTTCATTAAAAATAAGAGTCAGGCTGAATGACTTTTTGCATTTAGTTGGAGTACTATGAAAAACTGTAATGTATATACAAATATTTATCTTTATGTAAGTGTTAATTTGATTAACTGAAGAATTAAAATCTAAAATGTATTTGCTCATCTGTATGTACCATGGAGCTAGTCAGCATGTTTCTTTGGCTTTCTTGCCAGTTGCTATCTGAGCATATGGCCCTGCCAATGGGAAGGAATAAAATCATCCGTTGTTGTTTTCAACTAAATTGTTAAATCACTTAACTAAAAATGTATATCAGTAAGGCATTGTGATGTTTCAATTAAAAAATAATAAAAAATTAAGACCTAAACTTGGATCTACATCTTCCTATAGGTAAAATGACATACTGTGAATATAAATATTACTGTCTCTATATAAAGATAAATCACTATATACATGTATACACACAAACGCATACACATACACATATATATACGTATATACATGAAAGGGCACAAGATATATATATTTACATATACATTTCATACATATATATAGGTACTTCAAGGCAAAATTTTGAATTTCAAAGCAAAATTTTCTTTATAAAAGTAAAATCCCCAAAACACCTTCAATTTTTAGCAGTCATAATATTCCCAAATGTTCTCATTGTGATTTGTCTCAGACTGTAATGATTAAAATTGATCAGTCTTTACAATATTATTTTTCCTTTATTTATCATTTATATTGTTCATATTTCCATAAAGTTGTTGAAGCAGCAACTCCTTTTTAAGAACTTTAAAATGCAAAATTATTTACTTTAGCTAATTTGGTCCCTTCTCAAAGTATGTGAGGGATGATGGCAAAGCTTCCTGCCACACACCCCTTTAAACTTACCTGTTGGGCACAGGTGTCCATTCCTGCTCTCTCTGCTGAGGTTGTCCTTTTGCCATTTCCTCCTAGAGTGCTGCCCAGCACACTCATTCTCCACTTATTTAGTTTAGAAGATCTTGTGACTTTTTTATGGTTTACAATAATGGTATAATGATAATACTTAGCACTTACACAACTTCAAAGTACTTTCCAAACATTTACTACTTTTATATTAGTAAAACATGAGATGTATATATGCTGCTCTATAAATAATAAATAATTTTATGACCCAGGTGGAGGAAAATTTTAAAACTCTTCAGTTTCTGTGACAGGTTTGAGAAAGACAATGAGTCTTTATTCAGTTTTACATTTTTGTGAATTTGGACACATGGGGTTGTTGTCCTCCCTAGATTTTGTGTCCAAAGATTGTGGCAGTTTCTTTTTTGCTCTTCTTTTTTGCTCAACGGCTCTGCAAGCTCCAACCATACATTAGTATATGAATGCTTCCTTCCCCCTCCAACCCATGTATCATCCTTTCATGAATTTCTCCCAGAAATTTTTATATCTATTCTAGTACTATTGCTCATTAAAGAATTTTTGATTCCCTGAAGATCCAAAGGGTGTTACATTTTTATTGAAAGATGTATATGCTTTAACTAATAACTTTCCAAGATTTTGGACAGCATTCTGGTTCTTGGCAACCAATTTTGAATGTATAGCAACTAGATAGGACGCAAGCTTATGTTCAGCCTCCTAGGAGAGAAAGAATTTGCCAGAGAGCAGAGGCCAGCAATAAATGAGAATTCAGTTATTAGGCTGGGAGAGAGAATCTGCTGGGGTAACAGTCTTCATTAAAGAGACTAAACCTCTTTATATGATCACGTAGAATCAGTGTGCTCTTCTCTCTACTTCCCAACATAATGTAAAGGGAAAGGTGATCAGGCAAATCATATTTGTATTAGAATGAGAAATACAATAATAACAATTCTTACATCAGTTATTGATAGAACTTTGTCAACTTGTTTACATTTTGCACTATAATTTCCACTTCAATTGAAGTTATTTGAGAATTCTCAATTCTATGCTTTTGCCTATGTATTCAAAATATCTGGTATATTCTTCTTACCCCATTTTGTAGTATAAATCTTATTTATCCTTCAAGGTTAGCTCAGTTCAAATTTTACCATGTCAGCTTTTCCAAATTAATGCTTTATCATTTGAGGCCCATAAACTGATAAATACATGGGACTTTGAATGAAAATAATGTGGGCTTTGGGCATATAAGGCCCAGATGTTATAAATCTTACTCATCCTTCACGATTAGCTCAATCTTACTTTCACTATGCGGTAATCTTCACTATGTGAAGGTAATGCGTTAGCCAGATGAAAAGCAAGGGAGCATTGCAATTTGGGGTACATGACAAATACTTCAAGATAATTTGACCAAGGAGTTGAGTGTATAGGAGATTGGAGCTGATGGGAGATAAGGTGGGAGAAGCCAAAAGTGTCTAGATTTTGAAGGCCCCACTTATTTCAGAGCAATGGAGTGCTTCTAAAGAATTTAAGTATGATCGCATTGACCTTTTGTTACGTAACTCTATCTGTAGTGGAAAGAGATTGGAGGATGAAAAAAGTAGAGTCAGAAGGGTACAGTTGAATGCTGTTTTTGTCATCCAGATTACTGTGGTTTGAAATAAGTAAGGCAGTGAAATGGGAGACCTGGACTCAGTCTTGAGACTTAATAGGATTTAACGATTGGTTGACTGTGTGGGAATGACAGAGATGCAGGAATTAACATCAATGAATGCACCAGTGATATATTGTTTATAACATAGTGAACAATGATCTGTGTAACAAAGCTGTAGTCTTTTGAGCGTCTTAAAAATCTCTATCCAAGTACTGTTATTAGTAATTGGATATGAATCCTCATAACTTTTTTTTTGTGTACACACTTTGCTTTGCCCTCACTCTATTCATTATTTTTGACAATTTAGGAAAAAATAAGAACTTTTTTTTTTTGAAATAACTAATCTTCTAGAGTCCAAATCAAGATTCAAAATAAATATAACAAGTAAAATTGTAAAGAGCTGGGAAAAATAGCAGATATATATGATCTATATTCCAGTTAACTGGTTTCCATAGAGTTGATTCTGAGTCATGTGACTCCATGTGTGTCATAGTAGGATTTTCAGTAGCTAATTTTTTTGAACTAGTGTGCCAGGCCTTCCTTCCCAGTTACTGTTGGGTGGACATGAACTTCTAACATTTTGTTTGCACATTAACTATTTGCACCACCCATTATTAATATTATTGGCATACTAATTATATGGTCCTACATTCAAGTTAAAACAAGTAAAATATAAGTACAGAATGAAGGAAACATTGATTTTTAGAAGTGCTTAATACTTAATGAGTCAACAATATAATAATGCTGCTTAAAAAGGTTCCAAAAATGTTGACCTTCAATGACAGAGGTATAGTTTTCAAACCACAGGAAGTAGTGTTCCCACTGTTTTTCATAATGATTTGACCACATCTGGAGTACTGTCTGCAATTCTAGATGCCAGATGTTCAGTGGCATAATAACATGGAGCAAAAGCAGAAGATAAAAGATGGACTCATGATGTGGCTGAAAATTATAAAACATGTGGTTGAAGACTCTGGGAATGTTTCTCTCATAAAGATGGTATGATGGTTATGTTTGTGTGTCAACTTGGCTAGGCCTGGTTGATTGGCTGGGCAGCTGGATGTAGTATTCCCCGTGATGAGACTGGTAATCAACTCCATGGTGGAATCTACTGGGAGCAGCTGAGTAGCTGCCTTTGGGTATGTGGTCTGCTTC